GGAATATGACAGCTAGTCAAGATAGACCTCCAAATTTCAGATTTGATTGGCATCTAGAATTTCACTTTTCAAAATACATTTGAAAAATAAAATTCTCAATTCAACCATGTTAACAGGAGGCAGTGCCAAAAAAGAGGCCACTCTAGACTGCCTTAAAGCTGACACCTCTTTGGAGTCCTTTGTATCCTGCAGCCAAACCCACAGACTGTCTGGGTCTAGAAAAGACCGTGACAAGTAAGAATTTGTTTTTAGTAAACCAAAAACAGAACCCATCTTTTTTCCCTGTGATTTTTCTCAGTATTATAATTGAACTTCAGAATTATATGACATAAGACAAACAGACCAAAACTTTGATTTAGTATAAATTGTCCATTATTATTGTGCAACTAGATAAAATTACTTCAAATGACAACTTACAGGAGTTTGGCATAAAAATACAATTAAAATACAAAATGTACAAGAAGTTTGCAAGCTGGGCATCACTCTCTTGACTTCCTAAAACTAACTTGAAAATAAATATCTATTTTCCAATTTCTTAGACTAAAAATTGCCCTCAAAGCTAGCAATGGTGGCCACAAGATTGTTTCTGGGCAAAATGTTAAATACCAAGGAAAAACAGTTCAGCGCCAAATCAACATCCACTATGATACTGAGCCTCCGTATTATAACTGTGCTGCTGGCACTGGAAAATGTGAAGATGAAGAATTGAAAGTAGCAGTTGGACAACAAATTAGTGTTACTAAGGTCGGTTGCATTAAAAGGGACAGTAATGGGGATTGTTTGTCTTTGTCTTAGACTTGGTTCCCATACCTATAGATCGATCTAACAGAATTGATCCATCTCCAAGGGGTTTAGCGTTAAATTACTTTCAGCTAAAGCGGCTTAGATATCTGGCACGCCTAAATATTGAAGCTGCAAAACATTAATTAATTACCCCCTACCAGCTTCACTAGGCATGACAGACATCTAAGCCACTTAAGTTGATTGCAGTTTAGAGAGAATCCCCTTGGAGATAGATCAATCCACATTTGGTATGATAGGATCTGGGAATGGTTCCTTAGATGTTTCCTTTTTTCCCTTTTTGCCAAGTTTTGCAATCAATAAAATAAATAAATAGTTTATGTATGACATCTAGAAAATATTCAAGCTTAACTGATTGCAAAAAGGAAACAAACAGACTTTTAGGCGAAGGCTTGATTAAAAGATTTGAATAGGACAGAATGAAATACAAGAAATAAATTGGATTTGAACGCAAGTTTTTAATGTATGAAGCAGCGTCTTAAATGGAGAGGTCTTTTAGTGCATGCCTTCCCTTTCAGAAAGAGATACTTCTGACCATATCATGGGGTGATAACTGGAAGGATACATTGTCTGGTATTGCTAATTATCATTACTTCATATACACCTACTTAAGCACCAAAGAAATAGGATTGGGACAAGCCCCTCTTGCAAATGGCTCTTGGACAGCTGGAGACAGGTTTCCAATATATGATGTGAAAAGCGATAAAGCTGCGTTTACAGTTGTGCTCCAAGTGCAGGACAAGGCTGGGAATAATATTAGAGTGAGACGTGGTAAATAGAACTGACATAAAGTTTATGCATATTATGTAGAAAATAAATAATTTGATAATAATTCTAATAGTGATAATAATTTGTTTCTAAATGCAAGCATGGTCTCAAAAGGTAACACCTAACATGTAAATTGTTAATACTTGTTATGCAATTAAAAATATTCAAGATGTGTGCTGTGATATTTAAAGTATATAGGGTTCTAATGGGAGATCTCAAAGAATTATATTTAAATTTAATTGCTTGAGAATGTTGAATACTAATAGGCTAGCTTTATATTTGTTTTTGTTTTTTTTCTTAAATGAAATTTGATGCCTTAGTCTTCTGTATTGATTTTTCAATTCAATGGATAAAATGAGTATATTTCTGAACTTTTAAGATATTGACTTGACCAGTCCAAGAGTGTCCGCTTTACTTGGAAATGGGCCAAGTGATCAGGGCGAGGATAAAAGCGGACTTCTAACATGTATGTCACTTCTTATGTCCCTATAATATATAATTCAGGCTTAGAAGGTAGATCTATCTGTCTGTTAATATGTTGTTTCTTTTTTCATTTTGCTGCTATACTTATTTTTTTTCTATACATATTTTTTACTACATGTATAGAAACTCTATTAAAGTGTATCAGTATTTTCAGGATTTCTGAAATATAGAGATAGTATAAGTATAGTAAAAATGTTAAGTGCTTTCATTGCTCTTGAAAACATAATTATTACATTTATCTGTTTTAATTTCAACTAATGTATATTAGTACCAATCTTAATGAAATTAGGGTTTGTTTAATAATGAAAACACAAAACTATAATTTTGCATAATTTCTAGTTATAACAAAATTTTGTTTAAAAAACTTTTTTTGGCTGTCTCACTTTCCTCTGGGCCAAATCCCATCTTATATTTTATATTTAAATTAGTGCCAATCTTCTTTATGATCCTGGCTGTTATTGTGGTGGGTCTGGGAGCTGTGGCAGTAGTTCGTCGGAGGCGTGGTCATCCTTGGTTATGGAAAGATGAAAAGTTGAAATTCTGGCGACCAAAAAACAGGCAGGGAAATGAAACTGCATGTGTAAGTGTACATTTTTGTATAAAATTACCTGATAGTAGAATCAAACAACAGGATGTAGTTTTTATTGTATTTTTTCTTTATATTTAGAGATAGAAAGAAATCATACAGTCATTTTTAGTTGATGCCATTTTTTCTGAAATTTGACATCTAAAAAACCCTGTCTGACAGGTGAAACTCACCTCAATAGACACATAGAATAGATAGACAGAGGTTTCCTTAAAATTAACTTTATTTCTATCTGAAAACTTGGACCACCAAACAGCTTCTCAGCCATCTGGCAAATGTTATCTGTATCCTTGCTGTTGTGGTTGCCATTTGTAGTTACTGTACATAGAGCTTCAATAGATCATCGTCCTTCCTCCCCAACTTTTTTGAATGTATTTTTGTGATGTTTCTTCCATTAGTGCCAAACTATATTTTGGTTTTACTTCAAAATTTATTTGCATGTTAATAAAACTGTCATGGTCATATTACTTTTGTAAAAGTTATCACTTTTTTTGTATTTATTTATTTATTGTAAATATTGCTGCAATGTTTGGTGTCTGCATATATGCCAGCTTTGCTGTCTAGTTTTTTAATTTGAGTCATCTGTTTGTAGCAAAAATGCTGAGAGTTATGGATTTTTTCTGTCCATACATGATTACAATAATTACAGTGGTGAATGCAATGAACTTCTGATTTTATAAAGATTTTTGTACATTTTAGTACAATAACTACACATACGATGTAGATGAAGACCAAGGCATTTACTATGACAGTGAGGCATTTGGCAGAAGTGTGGAGATTTCCAGCAGCCATGTTGTTCTGGGAGACATACTCTGCAATGGCCATTTTGCTATAATTAGACATGCTGAGTGGACTCCTGATAAACAGAATTCTATGGCAGTTATTGCAAAAGTGTTGAAAGGTTAGGTGTTGTAGTCCCAGAAGTTGCACTTACATCAGAGTAATGTAACAAAGATACTATAGTTTTGAAGGATTTTCTATACATCTACTTAGTACTTCTGAGTTAGCTGATTGACTGACTTATTATATATACATATATAATAATATTTGTTATTTAATATGTGAAATTTGTCAGTCATAACAGCACAATTTGGTGTAAGTTTTTGATCAAACCCATGAAGTACAAATGCATTGTACAGTATTATGTGACATTTGGAATACTGAGGTAGACTTTCTAATAAACTTAAATCACAAGAAAGAATACAACTCCAGTTATTATTAATAAACGAGAAACTTTATTAATAACAATGCCCCTCCTTGTACAACGTGCTACTCAAAATATTTTTGGAATCAGTGATGTATGTATGCATCTTGATTTTCAGATTGATGCACCTTGGTTTTCACATTCATACAGACAATGCATATGCCATTATATGTTTTGATCACTTTGTCTGTTTGGTATCTGTATATTTGCAAGCTTTGCTGTCTAGTGTGATATGCTCTTATGTCAATCCCTAACTTTTCAGATCCCAAGAATAAGGCAGACAGACAGTTGATGTTGGATAAGATCAAGTTTGTTGGAGATGTTCCCCGTCATGAAAATGTTCTGGCCATGCTTGGAAAGGTGAACGATGACATCCAGACAGGTAATTTTAATTAAAAGAGTAACCAATGCAGTGTCCAGTTTCACAAATATTCAATTGTGACATTAAAAGCACACATAAAAGTAGGTATTTATATTGACAGAAGGCTGGCAGTAAGGGTATTTATTAATTTTTATTTATTAAATTTAACTGTTTGTGGCCAAAGCAGTTCTTATTTACAACTTAGTCCAACTGATTCTAAAAAGGGTGTTTTTGTAATTCCAAAAAAAGAGCTACATTTAGGTCCAGTTTGATCAATTTCTACCCAATGAGTGGAGAGATTCACATTAAATCTTGGTCATCTGTTCTGTTGAATGATTATGTTGCTAAGTTAAAGGGATAATAACTCTTTATATGAGATCTATATTTCACAATAAAAACATTGTGAATAACTCATAGAAATATAATATATACTGTTTTACCACAAAAACAGCAGTTACAGCTATTATTCTGATATCTGAGCTTGTCTTAAGACCACGTGACCTCTATTGATGGCTATACTCTGTTAAAACCTCTTAAGAGATTTTAACAAAAAACCAAACTTTTTAGAAAAAAACTAGGGACTAATTTTGAATGTAAAAATGAATTCATTAACCATTGGTTAGTATGAGAAAATTGTTGTTTACTCCAGGAAAATTCATTTTTTGGCCGAAACGAAGAGTTATTATCACTTGAACCTTCTGTGATTTTTATCCCTGTAAAAACATAGTACAAGATGAAAGAATCGGTTTCTTTGACTTAATATAATATTGTGATAGTAATCAAAACTTGTTACAGGCCCATACATGGTCCTGGAGTACTGCAAAAATGGCACCCTTCGTGATTGGTTGCTGGCACAGAAGGCAAAGGGAGGTGAACTGAGCGCTGACACAGCTGATCGTATGACAGAGTATGCTGTACAAATAGCAGCAGGGATGGAACATCTGAGTGAAAAGAAGGTACGTACTGCTGTTTCCTATATGTAAACACATACCTCGTGTATAAGACTTGTAGAATTTAAGTTCTTTGATTGATCATTTACAGTGTCCTATTCTGTATAGTATGCTTGTGTTTTACTGCCATTTGCCATTGCTATTTATCCAATTAAGTACAATCCACTGTTCAGTGACCTCATTTCTAGGTCTCTAAACAGTTAGTTACATAGCCCTGTTCAGATATTGTTTGTCATTTAAGATGTTCATTTGTTTCTGTACATGTATATAGCAAAATCATTTGTTTTCACCACCTTCGGTGAAATGTTTTTATATCCTTAAACTTTTTTGTATAGTTAAAAAGTACATGACCAGTCACAAGTATTTATATCAATAAAATACAGATTAATCAGCCAAATCAAAATTGTTTTTCCTACATACATGCAACTTGGTGGACAATATGTATAATAAACAAATAGAGCTCACCTCCTCATGAACTACAAAGAATATCTTTTACCAAATCAAACCTCATTCTGATAAATTTACTTGCACTTTCATATTTTATTCTCTTTCAAGATTGTCCACAGGAGGCTGATGTCCAAGAATGTCCTCCTTAATGGTAAAATGGTTGCCAAGGTAATGGGATTTGGTCCTGAAGGAAAAGATGCAGCCAAAAACAAGGTACTTTGCTTTTCTAACAAAAGTGTGTAGCAATAAGAAAGTAATGCGTTATAAATAATGGCTGGCTTAATTGATATTTTTCTTACAAAGATTTTGTTATCTGTTAAATATTTATGAAAAAATGTTGTGATGGTTATCATTGTCTTGTTATATCACCAGAGTCGTTTACCCACCAAATGGATGGCCTTGGAAATTCTGCAGGATCCTCAACTGCATTATACCACTGCATCTGATGTCTGGGCCTTTGGTATCACTTTATGGGAGATATACAGCCTGGGTGAGTCTTTAGCAAAACTTGTCTGCACTTAATGTTTAATTCCCATGGTTCCTTGTGGAGCACCAAGCAAAAATTCCAAGAGTAGTTACAGCTTTTTGATATATATTATTATTAAATAATGATCACTAAGTCAACAGACTGTCACATCTAACAAGTCTCAATGTCAAGATAATGATTGATATTTTAGGTGACCTTCTTTACACTACTAACACATTACACTATCCAGATTGTGCTTAACATTTTAGGTGACCTTCCTTATCCTACTGGACACAAGGACAAACTGATAACCCTGCTGGAGAATGGAACTCGCCCTGACAAGCCTGTAGAGTGCCCAGATGATATGTAAGTTTATATACTCTACCAGTTGAAAATATTTACCAATTGTTTTTGGTGTGAATGCAGAGTAACTTTTCTTTCATTTTTTATGTAACTCATTTTCACAGGAGATTTTATTTGCTGAATCTTTGTTATACATATTATGTTTATCACTGTAGCTCACAGCTAGATAAAAGATATAACCAGTTTCTACAGTAAAAGTGTGGATTATTGGAATATACCAAACTAAGTGTTGCATAGCTGTTTGAAACTCTGTCATTTTAAGAAATATTTATTAGTGTTCTTTTTTGTCTAATGCTGTACTAGTAGTCTTTTATTTTATTGGACAATTAAACTGATCTGAGTCCCCCAGTTAACAATATGCACTCAATTTAGGCCCCAGAAATCAAATACTCAAAAATTATAAGCACTTAATTATTTTGATATGCCTCTGTTTTATTTTAGTTGAATGCAGCTAATAGTATGTGATATTTTTATAAGCTCAGAGATTAAAAGGGTGGTAATATTGCTATAAATGCAAAGATCATTTATTTTGTATTTATTTTCACTGGGGGTTGTTTTAGCTGAATGGTATTTAATAGAATTTCATGTTCATAAAATTTAAGACTAACATTTCAGTATTGTTTTAAGTAAGCAGATAAAACATTGTGCTATTTACAAAATTATACATTGCAGCTACAACCAAGTGATGCAGAAATGCATGTACCATGATCCAAGCAAGCGTCCCTCATTCCACCAGATCAAGAACCAGTTGAATGATTTCTTCCACCCTCCCCCAGATGATAGTGGCATGTACTATGGTTTATAAGGATAGCTGTGAACATCTGTCTTGTACCTTAATATTTTTATTCATTGGAGATGGAATTAAGAACTGGTGACTTGTTCAAATTACTGATTCAGAACATTGATAAGAGGATTTTTAGAAGACAAAAGGTAGCTTCTTTTGCTGTATAAATTGTATTAATTTCACACATTGTGGAATAAATATTATCCCCTCCATGCTTTTTAACAGTAATAATAGTGATCAGTGTTCCAAAGTAAATCAAACCAAAGTAGGAGTTCAATGTAATAGTTTGTTTAATGATTTTATGCCTTGTTTTCAGTAGTGGTGTATTCCCCTTATTTCTCTTGTTCTTCCCCTTTATCTCTTATATTGCAAATACCTACGGTGTATCAGTATACCAGTAACTAGCATATCCTGTGAAAACCTCATATTTTGGATTGATACATGTAATGGCATGGGCTATAACTGCAGTTACAATCAGTTTTATGCTTAGACCTCTTTGTATTGTGTATTTTTCAAGTGGCTGAATTTCATTTTATGGGTATTAATAATTAATGCAGTAGTAAAATATGTAATTTTGTAAATGAAGAATGTGATATGGAACTCAAAATGACCAATTATATAGTTATATACCCGAAGGATGTAAACAAATTTAGAATATACCTGTGTGTGTGTGCATGTGTGCGTGTGTGCGTGCATGTGTGTGTGTTAGAAGCAAAATCAGCAGGTGCTATGTTAAGTTATATACAGAGTGAATCTGATCTTTTAAATTTTTTTACAGTTTTTTATCAACAAAATCTATATTAGTAGGTGGTTCTTAGAAATACTAGTAGTAGTTCAGCACGTGATTTTGATTTGATTATTTGTTTATAAAATATGGCAAGAGCCATAAATGTTATTGAAAGTTTATGGGTTTTTGGCATATATTTTAAAGTAATTATTGATCAAGTTCTGTAAAAACTTCTTTTGTTTATTGAATATGAGCTTCTGGTTATGATGTGTCATCAAACAAAGACATTATTTTGCCTATTTACTGATAAAATCAGAAGACTTTGAAGAATATTCCTGGTACCAGATTGTAATAATGTAAGTTGTGATTAAAGCTGTGTTGATAGCTGTTCAAATCAAGGAGATCTACATTTATTGGAAATCAAAAACTTGATTTTAAACTAAAAAATGCATCCGTCATGTCATCAGCTCAAATTAGCAAATTTACCCTGATGTAAAGGTATTTTTAACGTGACATAACATATTTCATAAGACTACTGTAACATTTATCTCTGAATTATAAGAAAACAGAACATATTGATCTCCCTTAATCCAACAGAAGTTATTTTAAAGATTAGATTTGACCATGACATTGTGATTACATGTTGATATATGTATATGTGTTGGACACTGACTCAAGCCACATTTTAAATTTATTCACTTGTACTGATATGTTAAAATAAAGTGTTTTAATGAAATTCTTGTTCATTCAAGACTTGACTTTTGTGTATTTTATTAGGATGTTTATTGTAATAACACATTAGAACAAAGTGCAAAGGGTATTTATTTTTTTTTTTAGAAAAATTTATCTTCTTTTTATTTCATTTGTTTTTGAATTGATAAATTTGAATATTGATGGGGAGTTTTTACCAATGTGTTATCAGTGATGCCATATGGAGTTAAAAATGACCTTTTCTACCTGTGAAATGTTCACAAATGAACAAAGAAGCACATATTTCTATTTTTTAAAAAACAACACAAGAAATAGACCGGGGCGAATCCAGGGATATTTTCTGACAGTATTCCAAATTATTTTTTGATCAATTTCCCCATTTTTGACTGTCATTTGACAAAAAATTAGATGCACTTCAATGAAAACTTGAAAATTTTGACCATCTTCTGAAAGACCCAGGATGTGGCTTCCATCTGACCAT